TGCTGAACCTTCAAACACACGCAAATGATCATGCAAGTCGCCTAAGAGTGTTTGTGTCCTATTGAGTCTTTACACATTGGATGGGTCTTGGCAAAACATGCATATAATGAAAAGATGATTCCAAGCTTTAAGTAAGGAAAGCAATATAACCTGTGTGTCGTCTTGTAGTTCCATTCCCATTAATGGAAAAATGAACTGGCCTCCTTTCTTGGCCCATTGACAGCATATAATTTGAGTTTAATCTCCGAGCAAAATCTTCCACCTCTCTGTAAAAATGACACGGCCACTCATTTTTACATGTCTTTCATTTCATCGTATTGCTGTGGAGCTTAATGTAAAAATCCTGATATATGAATGCTTTTGTATATAAAACCGGTTTGCAAAAGGAACTGCGGTGTTTTCTACACGTCATAAACTAAAGGCATTTAACTCAAGAAGTTTCAAGTAAAGGAGATAGCCTCACCTATCAAGCATTTCCTTCAAAGCTGGATCAATTTCATCATCCATATCACCATCTCCAAACTCAACCTTTGGGGTGAAAATATCATCTTCTGCATTCGGTAAGTTTGGTGCCTCACTCGTGCAGGACCCGTTTTTATCAACTACCTCACCGCTTGGATTTTTTGTGGAATGTGATTCCTAAAGCACAGAAAGGAAAGCATTTTTCAGTAAATTTGACTAATACCAATCCAGAAAGAAACTAGTCTATCTCAACCTTGTCAGGGGCTGAATTGATCTCATTTGAGCAACCGTTCTTGAGATCCTTCTTTTTCTTGTTCTTCTTTTTGCTCTTGGAAGTCTTCATTGCCTTGGAATCTGTGAAAGAGAATTTTCCTTATCTCCACAATGACGCCTTCAAAAGGAAGTAGAATATAGAAAAAAAGAAGACTAAGAGGCAACTACCATAAATTTATGCATCAGATATCTCCAATCACCCGTAGCCGTAGATATCATCAAACAGGTTTGTCCTAAACATTCTATGATTGTTCATCCAAAATACATAATCAAGAAGTATCCTAACATGAAACTGACCGACCAATTCATATGAAGAAGCAAGAAAATAAACTGACCACCAGAATGAAACAATTGCATTGCGTGTCACAAAAAAATGTTGAAATAGAAATGCAATTCATCAAATAAAATAAAATAAAAAAGAACAGGAAAACAGTAAGTAAAACAGAACAAAGATTATGGGAAAATACCTCTGCCGTTAATAAATGATAAAAGATCATCCACAGAACGCTCATCCACACGTTCTTCCTCAACTTCCACATTCTGAGATACGAAAATCCAATAGCATAAAATCAATTTTATAGACCAGAAACATGTCTAACTTCATAATTCATGATCCAGATTATAAAATTATGCAATATCCTGATTTAACAGTGTAAAAGGAAAAAAATTTCAGACCAACCTTCAATTTCTCCCTTTCTTGCAGTTCCTTTCTTTTCTTTGCATATAATCTATTCAAGAGTCGAATTCGTGGATCATCCGTTGTATTTTTCAATGGCTCCAACTTCTCCTCCTGGTTAAAGGATTAAAATAAGATAAGCAACGGAAGCAAATGAGGGCTACACATCCTAAAATGGGACAATGTTGAGAATCACATACCTCAGTCAGATCATCAGGCAAATGAAATATCTCACGTATCTCTTCAGGGGTTTTTCCTTCAATGATTCGTGCAAGTGCACGGCTTGTAAGATCAACCAAAGGCTTTAACTGCAAGCTGTCAGCGGCTGAGGTCAACTCACAGAGCCTCTTTGTGTCTATGCGAATGAATTTTTCATCAAATGTTTTTCGTTCCTACGAAATTGAAGAAGAACGCTCTGAGAAAAATCCACTAATTATGTAGACATGATACAGTTCGTTGTCAATTTAAAGAATTCACATGAACTTACAAACCTTATTTGAACGTCCAGGTACTTGATGAAATCTGCAGTAATCAAGAATCAAGCTTAACATGGCCGGATTCACTCGCTGCGGAAGAGATATTGCATAGTTCTTAGATGATCCAGCACCCTTCTGTAGTACTTCTTGGCATATCATGGGACAGAACATTGCAGCCTCTTGTTCCACTTGCTGAATTGCACCATCAGCAGTTTGAAGCCATATATATGACTTCATCATCTATGTCAACGCCACACAAGAGCAATCAATTCTTGCAATAAGCTATACTGTAACTAGCAGTTCCAATAGGGAAAATCAATCACACTCCAAAACATAGATGCCACAAATGTAAATTAACAGACAAGAAATTTTAGTTTACATCCAAAGTAGATGTGACAAAACCACTAGTCCATGTAAATGCATATGACAGAGCACTAGTTATTATGCCAGCTGATTAACCATATATATATTGGTCGCATGTGATTTGAAGTAAAGGGAAGTATCCATTTGAGTCGTCGGAAATGAGAAGTAACAAAATCTATGATTAAAAAAAATTAAGCTTACATCCGGTTTTATGACCGCCATATCGACTTCTGACATTGATGATGAACTGAAGACTCAGTCTACTGTTATGGAGCTCTTTACAATACAAATGATATCGCAAAGCTCCAACAAGTAGGACACAACCTACTATCCAAGTAATTATATTCCTTGAACTGCGAAGTTTCTCAAGAGTCAAGAACGCAAATGGCTCCCCAGAAGAACACCCCAGGTAGAAAACTTTCCAGTCCAGGTCTATGCGCATTGAAGTTCCGACGGTAATCTCAAGCAATTTCCGATAACTCCATCACCAAGCTGGTAAAAGAGGAGACATGATGCGTAAGGGGACAAAGACAAGAGCAACTTAAAATTAACTGAAAGATTGTCACTTTGACCGAATCTTCCACGTAAACAAGGAGCATGCCTTCGGTATCCAAAACAGCAATGGGGAAGAACAATATGAATACTCATTTACAAGCCGACAAGGTGTATATTCAGTTATCTTTCCTGGAAATTTTCATTTCACTTGAACGTTAAAAAGGAGCGTTCTCAAAGTGTGGCCACGAACAAAAAAGAAGAACATCAGAAACGAACAAGCCAAAAAAAAACCTAACGCCAGAAACGGAAACAACACGAAATCGCGCACCAGGAAATGGGCAAAAGAAGGGGACTCAACCAGCCATCAAAAATCGATCCAATGGAGCGGGAAAACGACGGAAAGAGACAAGGACATGGATACTTTCCTAGAAACGCAATCAAACAGGCGGACAGAGAGACACACACAGGCACACGAAGCCATCGGAACCCGTTCGAATCCGAGGGAGAATCAACGGAAACGACAATACCGGGGTCTTACCTGGAAGAGGGAAGGGTAATGGAGGTACGAAACAGAGGAAATGGAGGAGGAGACGGCGGAGGGAATCGAATCTAGCGGCGGCAGAGCAGCCAGAAGGAGCGGATAAGAGAGAGAAAACTAGAGAGAGAAAGGAGGGCTCAAAATTGGGGTTTGGCTTTTTTTTCATACAAATTTTTAAGGAAAATTAAAAAAGAAAAAAAAAATGGTGTGTGGCCAATGGCCATATGTATATCCGGTCCAGTACAGGTGTGCGCGCCGGTGAGGCCGAAGGATATGCGTAAAACGACGTCGTTATATAGGAAACTGAGGCTAAAGATGATTGGTTGGTTCGAACCGTGGGCCCGAGAGGCTATTTGCCGATGCTGGTTCGGTCGCCGCCGGTTCTTTTTTTTTTTTCTCTTTATTATTTTTTAACGATTGTATAAAGTTTTATTTTTTTTCGTAATTTTTGGCGAGAAATAGGGAGAGAAATTGGACCTCCCGATAAATTACAGGCTCTAACTAAATGGGCCTAAGCCCAATTAAGATTCTTGGGCTGAAGGCAATTTTAAACCTATATAGAACATGAAAATCCAACGAAATAATAGCCCAAAGTTCAAAACCGGGCTTGGAATCTTTTTTTGTGTGTTTTTTTTTCTCCACTCAAATAAATTATTTCTTGTAAATTTTGGTTTCCAAATAATTTCAACGGAAATGAAAAAATTATTTAGACAAGACATTTATGAAGAACAATAACTGACTTTAAGTTCTATTTTTTTCCCTAATTTTAACGTAATCTGATTATATTTTTTAGAGAACTTTTTTGATAGTTGTGGAGAAATCTTTATTTCTGAAAAAAACATTTATATTTTTTATATAATAACTAATATATATTAATTTGATCAAAATATTAATAATTACTATAGATAAATTTGTGGGTGGGGCTGAAGCCGTGTACATGATGACTGAGGATGCAATAATACAATTTTGAATTGGAAGAGTAATATCACATCCTAAATTTAAATAATAATAAAAAAAATTGTTTGACAAAAATGTCTGTCACTGGCAGCACCCGTTAGGTGAACGCCACGTGTCGACACACGGATGCGTTGGACGGCTCCCGTCTCTCTCATCGCCATTTTTTTTTCACCTCCCTAATCGAATTTTTCTTCCAAACGCTAAAGTCCAACGAAATTACATCACCTTTTTTTTCCTTCTTTGGTCGGTCCGTCGGCCCTGTGGGCCTTATATATATATATATACACATTACATATATATGCATGACCGAAAAATCATATGTAGATTTATTCGACAAATGTAACTGTATATATATATATATATATGTATGCATATATAGTAACCGTAAGTATGATAAAAAGACAATAATAGAAAGTTGGTGTGGGTGGAAAGGTGAAATAAAATGAGACGTGGGAAAATTGGGTGTAGGCGTTGGGAGAGAAAGATGCACGTGTGTGGGGCACACTTGGACCGACTGTCATCACCATCATCTGATCTGTCATGTGAACAAACATCCGTTTTTATTATTTTTTTCCATAACATAAATCAAATAATTATAATGGTTTATAATTCGATTAAATCTCTAACAAAATTAAAATTACATGGAATTTGATATAACATGTTCTCTTGTGGTTGTAGCGGTGAGACCATGTGCTCTTCCTCGGGACGGTCCAAAGAAAACCGCCAAGTCATCTCAACCACACATTTGTTACTACTCGTAGCTTCTTTTTTTTTTTAATATAAAGTTTTATTATGTTATATTATTAGTGCTAAAGATAATATTGATTATTTTCATTTTTATATTTATTTTTCCTCCATCATTTGTCCCCATTATCACCCAGAACAGCACATCTGTCCTGCTATAAACCACTCTCCCTCCTCTGCAACACACTCATTCACTCTGCGAAAAGCGAAAACAATCATCTAGAGAGAGAGAGAGAGATGGAAGGGAAGGAAGAAGACGTGAGAGTGGGAGCGAACAAGTTCCCGGAGAGACAACCGATCGGGACATCGGCGCAGACGGACAAGGACTACAAGGAGCCGCCGCCGGCGCCGCTGTTCGAGCCAGGCGAGCTGTCCTCGTGGTCGTTCTGGAGGGCGGGAATCGCTGAGTTCATAGCCACTTTCCTCTTTCTCTACATCACCGTCCTGACCGTCATGGGCGTCAAAAGGTCTCCGAGCATGTGTGCCTCCGTTGGAATCCAAGGCATCGCTTGGGCCTTCGGCGGTATGATCTTTGCCCTCGTCTACTGCACCGCTGGTATCTCCGGTAAGCCATCCTTTTCCCCCCGATCTATCTCATCGATTATGGAGAAGAAATTCCAAATCTTGGGTTGGTTCCGGAACTGAAATCCGTTCTTGGGTGAGAAAAAAGCTGGTTGCTTTGTCTTGGAGTGAATTAGTACGGAGTTATAGAAGAAGAATCTTCAATCTTTCGTGGGTTTTTCATTAATGGGCGGATCTGCCATGAAGTAGAATCTCTCTAAGTTATGTTGTTTCCTCAGGTGGACACATCAACCCGGCCGTGACCTTCGGACTGTTCTTGGCCAGGAAGCTGTCGCTCACCAGAGCCGTGTACTACATGGTGATGCAATGCTTGGGAGCCATCTGTGGTGCAGGTGTGGTCAAGGGGTTCCAGCCGTCGCAGTACCAGATTCAGGGCGGTGGGGCCAACACCGTGAACCATGGCTACACCAAGGGTGACGGCCTTGGCGCTGAGATCATCGGCACCTTTGTCCTCGTTTACACCGTCTTCTCTGCCACTGACGCTAAGAGAAGCGCCCGTGACTCTCACGTCCCTGTAAGTTCACTTCCTATGGGGATATCAGTGTGTGATAAGATCAGAATGAGTTAAAGAAGATGAATTTTTGTGATTAACCCATCGGATCAATGACTGGATTGCAGATTCTGGCGCCACTCCCAATTGGGTTCGCAGTGTTCTTGGTTCACCTGGCGACCATCCCCATCACAGGAACAGGCATCAACCCGGCCAGAAGTCTTGGAGCCGCAATCATCTACAACAAGGACCATGCCTGGGACGACCATGTGAGTCACCAACGTCCAAAGCTTGTTCTGATCATGTATGGGAACTATTACTGATTAAGATTTGATAATTATAATCCGTTTTTTTGGTTTTATAATTTCAGTGGATCTTCTGGGTTGGACCATTCATCGGAGCTGCACTTGCTGCTCTTTACCACCAGGTGGTCATCAGAGCCATCCCCTTCAAGAGCAGCAGCTGATGAGAGAGACTCCATGGATCTATCTCTCTTCAGACACTGTGAACTGCAACTTATCCGGCTTCTACTTAGCTGCTTCCGTTGTTTATAATCTACTCGTGTGAAGTGTATGTGTCTCTGTGTGTGTGTGTGTTTCTTCTACAATCCAATGGAATTCGATGTAAACAAGAAAATTTCCAGAAATTCCAAGCTCATCTCATCCTTTCTGTTTCCTCATGTTCCAAATTATTTCAGTAGTTTGGTCACTTTCGATAATGATTTCCAGCTCACAGGAAAAGCAACTCGGACCAAACACAAATTAAATACACGAACATCGATCACATGCAAACTCACCCCACACCTATTTATGTTGTCGAATACATGACCTTTTTTTGTTCGTTTGATGATATCGAATCAGACGACGGGCAAAATACGAATTATGTTCATTACAAAATCGGTATTTATATTGAATTTATGAATTATATAAGCTTATCCAATCAATTTAACAGCTTGCTTACAAAGTAAGACAATAAAATAATGAAATGGAATGTGACCAAACCAAAGAGAAATAAAAAAGACAAACTTTTCAAAAATTACCTCTTTATCCTTGTTTTCAGGTAACCAATCACAGAACGCAATGTGGCAGGAGTGGGAAAGCTTCCCTCGACGCGCGCGCAATCCTCACGCGCCCATGGGCCAGCGAGTACCTGACACTGCATTGAGGTAGATTCACCTACCCTCTCTACCCAGTAACGCCGTTACAAACACCGTCAACGACGCCGTTACGTTTCCCCTCCGTCAGATCCGAGACGATCGCCGTCAGGTCCCGTTTGTGGACGTTAACGAGGAGGCCGTGCTTCATGAAGAGCTGGGATTAAGCGCGGACGCCATCACCGGTAATGGCGTCTCTCCCCGCCATAACACTTCGGACGATCTCTCCAAGTTCCCTCCTGTGGAGGTGAACGCGAAGGCCGTTCTTCATGAAAAGCGTCAGCGACATCTTCTGCTCCACCTTGTGGCCGTTAGCCACCGTGAGGCGATGGCGGAGTAGAACAGTGGCGGCGATAGACTTCATTTGCAGATACGCCAAATCCTTCCCCAGGCAGATCCGAGGGCCAGCATTGAACGCGACGAACCTGAACGGATCGTGATTGATGAATCTCCCACCGTCCGATGATGGCGAGATCCATCGCTCCGGCTTGAATTCCAGGCAATCCTCTCCCCACGTGGATCTCATCCTCCCGGCCGAGTAGATCGAGTAGGTAATCGACGATCCCGCCGGGATGAAGGTCCCATCGGGCAAGACGTCGTCCTTCACCGCGTGTTTGGAATCTTCCGGCACCGACGGGTACAGTCTCAGCGTCTCCGACAGCGCCGCTTTCAGGTAGACCAACCGGTCGAGCTCCTCGAACGTCAGTGGCTCCCCCGCCCCGACGGCGCAGATCTCGCGGAGGATTTTGTCCTCGACCCTCGGATGCTGCGTCATGAGCCAGAAGAACCAGCAGAGGGCGACGGATGACGTGTCGCGGCCGGCGAGGATGAAGTTGAGCGCCACGCGCTGGAGGGTGGCATCGGAGTAGGATTCCTTCTTCTTGATGAAGCGGGAGAGGAGGTCGTCGTGGAGGGACCCATCCCCCTGCTGACTCATCAGTTCCTGCTTACGTGTACTGATGATCTCAGACAAGTACTCCTCCATCTGGACCAAGCTTCGGCTCAAGCTGACCTCTAAGCCGAGGCCGAGCCATTTCCTCAGCTTCCACAGAACCTCAGGCAAAATAAACCGCTGGAGCGAAGCTTCGGTTGCGAGGTCGAACGAAACCGCAAACGCGTTCACAGGGAGGTCTGGCGAACAAGTCCGCGGGTCCTTCCCGAAGGTCAGGCCGCATATGTTGTCAAACGTGAGCCGGAGGAGCAAGTCCTGAAGATCCACCGGCTCGGTTTGGATGAGAGCCGTTTCAAGGATGGGGCAAAACCGGAGCTTGATGGCCCGGTTAACCCAGCGAACCATGGCTTGCCGGAGAGTTCTGGTGGTAAACTCGAGCGCCGCGGTCTTACGCTGGAAAAGCCACGTGTCACCGTCGGAGTTGAAGATGCCTTGGCCGAGGAGGTCGTGGAAGACGGCTTGCCACGTGGGACCCTTGGGATAGTTGTCGAACCGAGTCTTGAGGATGTGCTCCAGGTTCTTGGGGTCGCACGTGACGGTCACGAGGCCTTGTTTCTTGGCCAAGAACGGTACGGCGCAGATGCATGTCTGGTACGTGCCGCCGCACGCGCGGAGGTTATCGGAGATCCAGTCGTGCATGCGCTCGCAGTTCTCGATCAGACCAGGGAGACTGCCCAATAGGGGCCAGACACGTGGACCCTTCAGGGACCGGCATATGAACGTGAACCACAGCAGGTACGCCGTGATCGCCGAGAGAATCATCAGAGCGGTGGATATATCCATTTCAGACAAGGCCCGAAGATGACGAATGAGCTCTTCCGGGAATGTTTGCGTCTCTTTTCTCAAGAAAATGACGTTATTGCAAAACCTACCTGAAGAAAAAAGGTGAAAAGCTTTACACAAAATGGAGACGATCGACCCAGATGATGTTTCTCTCCAGAAGTTGCCGAGAAACCGAAGAGCTGTGTATATAAACAAGGACGAAGAAATGGAAGAAAGAGTGACAATTTGGCACAGAATATTTCCAAGCACAGAGAGAAGATTTATAGGAGAGGAAATGAGGACGAGCAATTATGAAAGACAGACTGTTTCCCTTCAATGGAAATCACTCTCTCTCTCTCTCTATCTCTCTGTGAAGAGCTCAGTCTACAAACCAAGGCGATGTTGCAGCACCATTAATGGTCCTGCTAGGCTGGTAGGTGGTTGGAGCCTTAATATTCGATAGAAAAAACCCACAAATTTGAAAAAAAAAAGGCTTAATCTTTGGGTAAATTCTTGGATATTGGTGGGTTCAAAGCCTGAGAGCTAAACAGCTAGTACTACTTTGTATAACTGAGGAGAAGAGCATTGAATACGATTAGTTGAGGAGCCAAAGAGAGAGAGAGAGAGAGAGAGAGCCACGGCCTGCGGTTTTGGACGAAGCATCCTCATGCATGAACCCAATATTACAAAGGTTTACACAAAACCAAAAGGCATACATAAAAGATATCACAAAAGAAGCATGGGTCGACGCCTCCCTTTTGTGGCTATTAATTGCTGTGGTGAAAGACAATGATATTAGGGTTTTGTCTCGGGCTATATCATATATATACACACATATATATATCGACGTGTTGGAGATCTGATGTATCTGCTCTTGGCCTTTATGAACTCTCGGGAAAGTTGCAGATGAGGGTCAAAAAATGGTGTGTGGGAATTAGGGTTTCTTTCTTCCATGAGATTGTTAGGGTTTGGGTGAACAACCCAACCAACGAAATCCTTGCTTGACTCTCCAATACGTATGAGGGTTGCGTACGGGTTTTGCCCATTCATTGTATATAATAATACAATTTAAATGATAGCGCCATCCATCTCTTGTGTCTCTATATTATGCATATATATATATATATATATAGTTTGGTAACGCAATTATTTCTTTTACCGTTTCCGCTGTGTGTTTTTAAGTGTCAATTGCCTAGATATATAGAGATGATGATGCCAATTACGTACCATAATCATGCACATATATACGTATATATATATAAGTGTATATATATATATGCACATGTTTGCATACGTACTCGCTCGCTGATGGATTATCTTGAAACTGATGACTAACTCATCAACGATTATTACCAAAGAAATTGACTGACTAGCACTCGTGTTTTTATTTATCGAAGATTTATAATATAATTTGTGATGAAATATTGTACCAAATATCTCTTGAAATATAATTAATATATAGCCATAATAGAAATGGAAACCAAATCATATATATATTCGTCCAGGATTGTAAAAAGTTATCCCCTTATTTTGACATTGTGTGTGTGTATATATATATATATATTCTGGATTCGATTCATATAAATCTCTGCATTTAGACATATAACTAACGAACCGTAACATAAACGGTCCATATAATTATTTTCTTATAAAAAAAATATATAATTATTTTACCGAAAACAAGTACACTGTACATCTAAATAAAACCGACAAACTTCGATCTCTCATTCTTTTTTTTTAAAATTTGACAAAAAAAAACAATATCAGTTAATCTCATCGAGAACTGCGAAGGCTTTGACCATTGCATTGCATGAGAATACAGATATATATATACATATATATATGTATGTATGTATGTATGTATGTATGTATATCTGTGTGTTTTTAGAATCTTAGATGCAAAGACAGAGAAAGTCAACCCTATGCAGGAAGACACGCACCTGAAAGGTCTACACGACCATATATATATATATATATATATATATATATATAAACAATTCATCGACCATGAATGAAATTCATTCATAGCTCACACACTTTGCAGGTCTCATTCAAAACAACGAGTAGAAATTCAATAACGAGGAAGGATAGATATTTAATTTTATTTATAGAAAAGGATCAGATTATATTAAGGAAATTAAATAGGTAAATACTATAATTAGTCAAAATAATGATGATGAAGTTAAAGCCAACGCGTGTCGGGGGATTGTTAACCATGCAAGTCACGGTGCAATATACATCACAAAGTTTTGGTCCATTGACTTTAATTTCCATTAAATATTTCCGACAGACCACCATCTTCTATCCATCATTCGCTCAACCAAAATTGCACGATCATCTTACTCCATCAACCCCAACAACAAAAAAGGCAAACCCTAATATAACAATTTGTTAAAAAAAAACTATCCATATATATGATTATTACATGTGCCAATATATATATATATAGTAGCGGACTATAGGAATAATTAGAAATGGAGGCAGAGTTAATTTTACCATATGATAAACTTAATTTTATCATGATAGCATCTAACAATTCTGTTAAAAATCTTATAAATTTTATTAAAAAAATATTCTTTTTTAATCAAACAAATGGTGCTATATGCCTCCATCCTTATCAAATTGGACCCATCCATGTATATATATATGTGTGTATATATGTAATATATATGTGTTTGGGTGTTCAGTATTCTAATTAGATTATTAGGCTAGCTTCGTAGAAGGAAGATTATACATTGATTAGGTTAATTAGATTACATGACCGGCAAGGCAGGGCAGAGCATTCTTCCTAGATATTGAAGAAAATTATATTATTAATCAAAGGAAAAATTATAGTAATTAAATAAGTATTAAAAGAGGTTGTTTAATTAGGTAATCTCACATCGATCTCCATCCATCCATCCATAATTACAGATCTGGGGGGGGGGGGGGGAAGGATATAGAAACTTAAAAAGTGATTCACTTGCTCG